ATAGTAGTGATAAAAGGGAAAATATATGGTAAGGTCGTAAATATTATAATAGATACAGGGTGTAGTAGTAATTTAATTAGTAGGGATCTTGTAAATATAAAGAGTGTTGGTCGTACTACGAAGGATTTATTTTTAAGAACTATAGGTAATCACAAAATTTCTACGTTAGGAAAAGCGGATATTAGGATTGAACTCGGAATAAAGAATTTCAAAGTTGAGGTGGCGGTAGTAGACAAACTACCAAGTCCAATAATCCTAGGTGTCCAGTTCCTAAAACAGGAAGAAGCCGTGATCCATTTTGCGAAAGGGAAGATATTTCTTTCAAAATCGGGAATGGTGTTGGAGATGACGTCAGGAACTAGGTCAGTGTCAACAACGAGGTCAGCGTTGTGGAATGAACTGACACGAACACCGGCAAGTGCGACTGAAATTGATGACAGTGGCAAAATAAAGCTGACCGCGTCACGGGATGTCATCATTCGTCCTGGACAGGAAATTAACCTAATGTTAAACCCGGAAGAAAAAAATTCACTTGCAAGAAACATGGAGGTCGCCAAAAACGAGACGTTTTTGGTTAAAAGGGGTTTATTAAGTTCGGTTGATAGATCATCAGATCGAGAGTGACTTCCCCGAAAACGAACAACATAAACTAGTTGATGTTTTGCAAGGATTCCCGGACGTGTTTGCAGCAACGTCAGATCAATTAGGAAAAACTAATCTAGTTGAACATGAAATTGATGTACAAGGAGCAAACCCTATAAAATGTAAACCGTATCGAGTATCACACAAGGAAAGGCAAATTATAGATACACAAATACAGGAAATGTTAGAAAATGGCATTATCGAGCCAAGTTCAAGTCCATGGGGATTGCCGGTGGTTCTGGCAAAAAAGAAGGATGGAAGTACAAGATTTTGCGTAGACTATCGAAAACTTAATGAAGTAACAAAGAAGTGCAACTGGCCCATTCCGAACATTGATGACATAATGACATACATTGGTTATGACAACAAATGGTTTTCAAATCTGGATTTAAGAAGTGGCTACTGGCAGGTTTCCGTAAAGGAGGACTGTAGAGAATACACAGCGTTTATAGCACAAGGTTACGAACAATATCAATTTAAAATTATGCCATTTGGATTGTGTACAGCACCAGCAACGTTTCAGGCTCTGATGGATAAATTATTTGCAGATATGAAATGGAAGGATATTCTAGTGTACTTAGATGACGTAATTATTTTCTCAAAAGACATAAATGAACATATAGAAAAATTGAGGAAGGTTTTTCAACGATTATGCCAAGCAGGGCTGAAATTGAAGCCGAGCAAGTGTATGTATCTGAAGAAAGAAATAAATATTTTGGGGTACAAGGTCAGCGTGCAAGGAATCAGCGTGGACGAGGATAAAATTAAAGGAATTTCGAAGTTTCAGACTCCACGAAATGTTAAGGAGGTACAACAATTTTTTGGAATGTGTAACTATTACCGGAAATTTATAAAAAAAATTTCCGTAATAGCGCGCCCTTTGCATGAAACAACTAAACGATATTCAGTTTTCTTGTGGAATGAGGAAAGAAATATAGCTTTTGAAACATTAAAAGAGAGGATGATAACTGCGCCGGTATTGAAACGATTCAATCCCAACAGAGATTGTGAACTGAGGGTTGATGCAAGTTTCCAGGGTTTGGGAGCTGTACTCTTACAAGAGGATGACGAGGGCCAATTACATCCAGTAGCATATATTAGTAGGACAGTCACGAAAAATGAGAGAAATTTAGGAATAACAGAACTGGAGTCTTTAGGATGTGTATGGGCACTCGGTTATCTTCGACATCTGATATATGGGAGACATGTTACTATCGTTGCAGACCACAATGCAATCAAGTGGTTAAAAACAATTAAAGACCCCACAGGTAAACTGGCAAGGTGGTCCATTAAGTTGTCGGAATTTGATTACACGGTGGTTCACAAAACCAGAAATAAACATAAAGATGCCGACTGTTTGTCTAGGAATCCGACGTCAAGCGGGACTCAACAGGATGAAGAAAATGCAGAAATTCCCACATACCTGGTCTCGAAAGAAGATCTCAGAAAACTTCAGCTTGAAGACGAAGAGCTAAAGAACATAATAAAGGCAATTGAAGATCCTGACAACGTCGATCTTCCAATTGGTTTACGAAAGAGGGCCAAAAATTTTACAATAATAAGGGAAGTATTACACAAGAAGAACACCATAGCAACCGGATTAGAAAACCTGTTAGCGATACCTAAATCGTTGATTGGAGAAATTCTTTACAACCATCATAGTGATCCATTCAGCGGGCATTTAGGGACTAAAAAAACGTTTAACAAAATCAGGGAACGATACTCCTGTACTAAAATGCGACAGGATGTAGAGAAGTTTGTGAGGGGATGCGCAGATTGTCAGGCTTTTAAGGGCGAAGATTTCAAGAAGAAAGCGGGTATGTTACAACCAATCTCGGTAGGGAAACTGTGGTCAATGGTATCAGTGGACCTGTTAGGACCATTCCCTAGATCGAGATTAGGAAACACAATGGTTATCGTCTGTACGGAGTATGTCTCTAGATTGGCTGTGGCTGGAGCCATAAGAGATGGGACAGCAAAAAGCGTAGCCAAGTTTATTTTTGAAAACATAATGTGTACGTACGGAGCTCCTAGATCTTTTCTGATTGACCGCGGAACAGTTTTTAGGAGTCAGATGGTAACCGACCTACTCAAACTTATGGGAGTCGCCAAGGACCTGTACACAACTGCGTATCATCCACAAACAAATGGGCTTGTGGAGAAGTATAATAAGACGCTGGCCAAAATGCTGGCTATGTACACAAGTACTGACCAGAAGGATTGGGATTTATACGTAAAACCGACCACATTTGCATACAACACCAGTGTCCAGGCTACAACAGGTTTTCCGCCATATTTGTTGCTTTTTGGGAGATTTCCAACAGTGCCAACCCAGGCTAATTTGATGGAGCCGGATATCGAACACGCAGATATTGTCCAATTACGTGAGCGTTTTTTGGTAATCCAAGCGCAGGCTGTGGATAACATCTCTAAGAGGCAGAAGTACGACAAGCAACGCTACGACTCTAAACATCGGGAGGTAGATTTTGAAGTCGGGGAAAACGTGAAAGTATTTGTTCCCATCAGGAGAAAAGGAAAAAGCCCTAAATTAATGTGTAAATGGTTTGGTCCTTATAAGGTTCTTCGAAAAGTCAGCGCAGTAAATTACGAGCTGGAAATGCGGACGAAACAAAAACCTAGAAAAGAAATTGTCCACGTGGGTCGAATCATGAATTATCATGATCAATGGACATCCCCTGCGAAGGAAAATTTAACATACATATTACTCGTTAGTCACATAATAATATAGCAATAAGTTTTTGTTAACTTTTTAATTGGTGTAAATTAAAAATTAATATGATTTTAATTTTAGGATGCTAGTAATATACTACATGGGAATCTTATACCTTGGACAAGCGGGAGAAATAAATACGGACGTTTACTGGCGAAAACTGCCCAATTCCATTACATACGAAGCCAGTATACCCTTGATATATACGACCAAGTGGGAGACGGGAGACAACGCCGGACACAGCAGCACTAGCTTGATGGATTGTGGTGAGAACGGCAAATCTTTAAATTGTCAGTTTGTCAAAGAAATAGAGAGGCTTTCAAATCTTTATGACGGGGAGCGTTCTATGTTGACGCAACTAATAGCATAAATTTAAAAAGCTAGCAGCAAATGAGCAGCAGTTGGCCGAACAGGTTAATCAGCTGCAACTGGGGCTTACCGAATCTCTGAAAAGCATCGGTCAAGAATCGAAGGCATTTTGGAAATATTAAAACGACACAGCGAACACGTTCCGTCAGATCGAACGAAGGATGCATTTAGCAGAAAAGGTGGCATCAGATTTAATGATGAAACTCGAGAATCGAGTGCGAGGGGAGGAAAGATTAGCTTTGACAGCGATTTATAATAATTATTTGAATTTGAAAAAAATTATTAATACCATCAGGATCATGGAGCAGAACGAAGTGGCGACTGCATCTAAACAACATCTGATTCCGCAGATAATACTCCCACCATCGGTACTGAGTGTTACAGGATAATATCGCTAATCATCGGCAGGAACTGGCCATTTCTGTTGGGGATGCGGAAATCTTGTACACATTGTCAATTTGTGACTGTGTGTTGACTGAAAAGACGATAACAGTTCACATCCGCATACCTGTAAGAACTAAAGGATTTGCATGCTCTTTATTTGAATTAATTGCGGTCCCTTTCAAGTGGCACAATCAAACATGCAAAACTCAGCACGAGAGTATGTACGTTGCCGTGTCAGAAGGAGTGAGCAGACAGGTGAGGGCGATATCCGAAGTCAGTCTTCACCACTGCAAACCTTTCGAAAACAAATTGTGTTTTTTGCCTCGATTTTCGGCGGATTCATTACATGGTCCAACATGTGTCAATAAGCTGGTTGTAGGAGGATCATCATTAGAGCTAAGCAGGCACTGCCCAATGACGTGCTATGATTCAACTGCAATGACCATAACCGAAGTTGAGGAAGAGGCATAGGTAATCACCCACGCGAGAAATGAATCCTGCATCAAGTGCAATAACCAACTAAGACCGATTGTGAAACAAGAGTGTTCGAACAGTAAGTGCTCCATTCCGGCGCACGCGCGAGTGAGCGGAAGTAGTACGCTACTGAACGTAAAAGGTGCATGAGTGAACGGTTTTTCCTCTCGCGTGTTCCTCGTTGTACTTCTCAAAATCAGGCTACCAAGAACCAGGGGCCCCTGTCACCGCCAGCAGGATACTCAAGGTTAGTGGTACTTCTCAGTTATTCTCGGTCCTTCGCGCAAAGTTAAGTCACGGCACCCCGCGTGCACAATTGGTCCTAATCGAAGCCGGATCATAACCTCAAATTTGTCGGTTTATCAGTTTCTCGATCGACGCTTTATCGCGTATCGCCGCAATGACTAACGAAGAATTGTTGCAATCTCAAATTAAGAAGCTCGCCGTACTGAAATCTACACGGGAAAAGTTATTTGCTCAAGTTCAAAACTGTTATGACTCCGTGAAGAGAACCACCGTTGATACAGCTCTTCAGTTCAAGCCTCGGTACGAAAAACTAGAGGTTATTGAGATAGAAATGGATAAGACTCAGAATGCAATTATTCAGCTAAATGCAGATTTATTGGATAATCGCCATGCTCTCGAAGTCTGTAAGGTGCAAACAGCTTTCGATGATTTAGTATTTAACACACGTGGTCGTTATTTAGACCTGGTGAAGACACAACCTCCGCAGCAAACCAGCAGTAATTCGGTCGCCAACAGCAACCAGCATTTGCCCAGAATAAATATCCCTACGTTCACCGGTCGCATCGAAGAATGGTCGGCGTTTTTCTCACTGTTCGATTCGGTTGTCCACAAAAACGATGCGTTATCAGAAGCGGAAAAATTCCAGTATTTGCGCTCTTATCTGCGAGATGACGCATTAACAGTCATTGCCAATTTTCATTTAACCCCCGAAAATTACGCACTGGCGTATGAGGCATTGCAACTTCGCTACCAGAATAAAAGACGGTTGGCGACTCACTACGTCAATCAAATTCTAGGTTTTACTCCTTTATCATCCCCAAGTTCTAGCAGTTTGAGACATTTTTTGAATATTCATTCGAATTCCATTAATGCTCTTAAGGCTTTGAATCTTCAAGACCTTGGTGATTTTTTGCTGTTTCAATTATCGTTTGCAAATTTGGATCCTGTATCTAGAAAAGCTTTTGAGAATAGGCAAAGTTCAAATTCCGTTCCCAGCTATCAGGCGTTAATTGATTTCATAACGGATCAGAATCGAACGTACGAACTTCTCTCTCAGGACACAAAATCACCGAAATGTAAATCTCTATCAGTTAAGTCATTCCGTGCTTCACTCATGACAAATGCCAAATCCGATGCCTCCTCTACGTGCTCTGTCCCGTGCGTGCTCTGCAAAGGTTCACATCCCTTTCCCCAGTAGCAAGCAATATTTTTCTAATATTTATATAAGATTGATATAATATTAAATGTTGATTAGATATTACAAATATTTATATAATATTCATTTTATATTTATAAATTTATATATGAATTTCAACATATATTACATATTTATGAAATGTCTTTTTATCAAGATACCGAACAACAAAAATGAAAAAAAAAGTACCATGTTGGGACAACTTGCAGGTAATTTATGTCATAGGGTTTTTATCGGAGCAATATTAAAAATTGATTTGAAAAAATACCAGCTATTGTGAAATTGACACTATTCGAAATATCGTGTTGCACACTATTAATTGCTCATTAAAAAGTAATATTTTTTTTATTTTTGCGAACAAAAAATAATAATTTTATTCATCATTTTTGTAAAACTTACTTAAATTTGCGCTTGTTCTGCTGGAACGCGTTTGCGCAATGTGCAACATATACATATTTTCTGTTGTTGTTGGTGGTTCAAAAAGTATTTTCTGTAATTTCATGGTGTTTGTTCTATTATGAATTGTGATTATCGGTACTGCGATAAATTCAGAATAGTGTAGTAAATACCGTTTTGTCAAGAAAACAGTACTAATTCTACATAACCTCACTTCTACAAGCAATGCAGAAAATGCAATTTCTCAACACGTAAGTATATTTAAGAGGTTTAATATTCCTGAATATAAGCACATTATGAATGTAGAAACAAAATGATGAATGTCCGGGCGCAACCAAAAAAAAGAAGAAATCCAGTTAGAAATTGCGAGAGATACGCAGAAATTGAATGAATTGGTAAGCATTTATTATTCTTATTATTAACTCCTAGTATTTATAAACTAGTTAGTTTCAGACTGATAATAATGTTTATTTTCCAGGAAGAGAAGATGTAAAAAAACATGTAGGTACCTATGCAATTTTGAAGAAATTATTAATAATGAACCAAATTGCTTTCAAGTTTTCAGGGCAAGGAAAAAATAAGCTCTCTTTTAGTGAACTCACAATTAACAAGGCTACAATATGTAAAGTTATGTGATTTCTTAAAAATTACGAAATTTGTAAGTTAATTTAATTGTAGGTACCACACGGAAACGTCACAAAAACGCCACAACTGCTGAAATTTAAAAAATGGTAGGACCTCATTAAGCGCAGACAAAAGCAAGAGTGAATTCTCATCGAAAAAAACATGAGGTATGATTTTTTTTATTTTAATTAATTATATCGCTTTTCAATGAATCGGTTATAGAGCAAATAATTATTAAATAAATATTTCTGTATAACGATTGAAATGTAGCAGAACATTGTTATTTCCATTGACAATGTATTTTTATTTCATTGTAAGTTGGCAGTGTATTTTTATGTTTAAAAAATTTATATTGTGTTTCAAATCAGGTGATTTTTTAAATTTCTGCCCATGAAGCTTATGCCAGCAGTTTCAGTTTCACTGCTGACATAAGCAGTGAAACTGAAAAAAAAGCAGAAATTAAAAAAAATCACCCGGTACAAATTTTCAACGAATTGGTTCTAGGACAAATAATTTTTAAATGTATAAATATTGCCGCAACGTTTCAAATACACTTTTATTTCCAGTGACAATGTATTTTTGTATTTAATAAATATTATATTGTATTCCATACAAGTTTTTTTTATATCCATACCCCCTTTCATATGAAGAACATTTATTAAATGTTCTGAACTAAATAAGTATTAAACATTGAAAATAAATATATATTCAATATTTAAAACCAATATTGATTTTTAAAAAAAAAATCTGTCGTTACCCATATTATTTCAATGTTAGAACTTCAATATTGATTACATATAAAATGTTACTGGGGTTCCGGCATGCAGCGAATTTCTCCAGAAAACAAATGAACAGAAATATGATACGTTGAAGAGATTGAGACGATGTTTCAACTGTTTGGGTGCTCATAATCGAAATGAATGTCAATCTCGTAAAATTTGTCGTATTTGTCACAGCTGCTTGTGGACTCCGTGTTACACCAGGAGTCCAAGGTGGATACCTCCGAAACTAGTACTTCTCCCTCTGTAGAGGAAAGAAAATCTCCCGTTGTGTTTTCGTGCAAGACCTCAGCGGAGCGCAACACTGTTTTACTAGCGACTGTGACAGCCCAGATCCAAGACTGTAATGGAGATTATCACAAGATAAGAGCTGTGGTTGATCCCGGCTCTCAAGTATCAGTGACGGCGCAACATTTGGGATTAAAAAGAAGCAGATCTCCCATTGAAGTTACTGGCATCGCCAGTTTTCCTGTCCGAACTCAAGGTCTCATTCGTACCACTCTACGCTCTAGAACTCGTGCTGATGTCGTAAACGTTCACGCTGTTGTACTTTCGGATATTCCTAATAAATTTCCTAGTCAGACGTTACCTTCTCACATTAAGGATCAGTTCAGTCATCTAACGTTAGCTGATGAAAACTTCCATCAAGCTGCTCGAGTTGAATTCTTAATTGGAGCAGATCTATATCCTCACATTTTATGTAATACGCAGCCTAATGTTATTCAAGGACAACCCTCTGCCATTGACACAATCTTTGGATGGATAATTATAGGCTCGATTTCATCTTCAACAAATTCCCCCTTGTGTTCTCTTCTCACATGCACCGATTCTCTTGATGATACCGTTCGTAAGTTTTGGGAAACTGAGACTCTCGCTGATAACCTTTCAGTCTCCAATCCTGAAGATGACTTTTGTCAAGCTCATTTCAAGGACACGCACTATCGCGATCGTTCAGGCAGATATGTGGTATCAATGCCAGTCCGTGAGCAGCGCTCGCCGCTTCTCAGCAACCGAGAGACAACTCTGAACACTTATCTCAAAATGGAAGCTCGAATGTCTCGGCGTCCCCAACTCAACGCTGCTTATATTACTTTTCTCCAAGAATACCGCGATCTCGGACATATGCAACTAGCCGCACAACCTTCCATGTACGTAATGCCTCATCATTGTGTTCAAAAGGAAACTAGTTCAACTACCAAAGTGCGAGTTGTGTTTAACGGATCCTCCCCTGACTTAAACGGGACAACGCTTAATCAGCAACTTCTGCCCGGTCCTAAGCTACAAATGGATTTGAGCCACATTCTCATGAATTTTCGCCTTCATGCTATAGCAGTCACAGCGGATATTCAACAGATGTATAGACAGATTTGGTTGAATCCAAAGCAACGTTATCTCCAGTACATATTCTGGAGGCCAGATCCCGCTTCTAATGTGCAGGAGTATGAGTTAAAAACAGTGACATATGGTTTAGCACCATCAGCATATTTTGCTCAACGTGTCCTTCTCCAGCTCGTCGAGGACGAAGGGCATGAGTTCCCATTGGCAGTACAAGCTATCACAGAAAGCACCTATGTGGACGATATTGCGCATGGTGTCTCTACAGTTGAGGAAGCGAAGTCGCTACAGTTACAACTCGCAAACCTACTCAATCGTGGCGGTTTCCAGCTGAGAAAATGGGTTAGTAATGATCCAATTGCTCTAGATCATGTTCCAGGACAGCATCGTGAATCTCCGTTGAATTTCTCAAGTGACGATCCTTCTATTAAGATTCTTGGATTACGGTGGGATCCTCGGTCTGATACTTTCACCTATTATGTACAAGAATTTGATTCTCAAGTTACCAAGCGCACTGTTCTTTCTTATATCGCTCGAATCTTTGATCCCATGGGGTGGTTATCTCAAATTGTATTTTGGGCTAAGCATTTTCTGCAACAGATATGGATCTCTAAAGTGGGCTATGATGATATCCTGCCGCCTTTCCTATCGGAGGCTTGGGGAAGGTTTTCTTCTCAAATGCGGTGTCTACGCGCACTTAAAATTCCTTGATACATTCTCCAAAGTTTGCCACGTTTGCTCTTGGTGGGATTCTCGGACGCTTCCTCTAAAGGATACTCCGCTTGCATCTATTTACATGCGTATGATTCCAGTAGCACTTGTAGCAATTATCTTTTGAAGGCCAAGAACAAAGTGGCACCCCTCAAGACATTGACTATTCCTCGATTGGTACTCTGTGGAGCGTTGTTATTATCTAGACTACTTCGTGATGTGATTAAATCTCTTAAAGCCGTAAGATTTGAAAATGTTCATCTCTATACCGATTCTCAGATTGTCCTTGCATGGCTCCACACCTCTCCTCATCTTCTCAAAACCTACGTGGCCAATCGTGTAGTTCGCATATTAGAGCTTACATCTCTTCACCAATGGGCACACACAGTGTCGAATCAAAATTCAGCCGACTTTGCGTCTCGAGGATTATTTCCCGAAGAGATCATGGATTGTCATTCCTGGTGGAATGGACCAGATTTTATGCAGAATCCGCCGTCCAAGTGGCCCGTAAGAGACGATAATTATGTCGCACCCGAAGAGCTCCCTGAGCGTAAAAACGATCCTATAGTTTTGCGCATCCAAGCCGACCCAGAAAATCCTCTGTATGAAGTTGTGTCACGATTTTCTTCATTTAGTAGACTACAACGCGCTTTCGCATTTATTCGCCGATGGCTACTCCGAATAAGATGTCCCGAGATGAAGGGACCACTCTCAAGCGAAGAGATGCGATACTCGACCTTATCGCTTGTGCGTCTCACACAGCAAACCCATTTTCCTCTGCTTATAGAAGAGTTGCGTTCCAAAGGTCACACCACAACTCCATTAAGGAAGCTGTTCCCATTCTTGGATGCAATGGGTATAGTTAGGGTGGGCGGACGGCTACGACACTCCGCCCTTCCCCTAGATGCGAAACACCCTCTGCTTTTACCTCAGAAAGCTCATCTCTCGGCGTTAATTTGCGACTACTATCATCTGTACGCTTGCCACGCTGGACCTAGAAGCGTGCAGACGCTTATACAGCAGAAGTTCTGGATAATATCGATTCGATCCCTCCTACGGCAGCGCATTTTTCGCTGCATTCGCTGTTTTAAGTTTAAATCGAAACCTGTATTTCCCTTCATGGCTGATCTACCACCAGCTCGAGTTCAACCTAGCAAACCGTTTTCCTCTGTTGGCATTGACTTTGCCGGACCCTTCACGGTCAGGGAAAGTCGTCGACGTAAGGCCCACACATACAAAGGGTATCTCTGTTTATTCATATGTATGTCTACGAAAGCGGTCCATTTAGAAATGGTCTCGGAACTCTCCACGAAAGCCTTCTTAGCCTCGTTCAACAGATTCACCGCACGCCGTGGTCTACCCTCTGACATATACTCTGATTGCGGACGTAACTTTCTCGGCGCCGCTCGCCACCTGAGGGAGGTGAGTCAGTTTCTACGTTCGCACTCCTCTGAGATAACGAGTTCCTTAACTTCTTTGGAGATAAAATGGCATTTTAACCCTCCAGCCGCCCCCAATTTTGGCGGCCTATGGGAGGCTGCGATCAAATCCGCAAAGAGTCTCTTGTATCGATCAATCGGCACCTCTCTCTTAACTTTCGAAGAGTACAGCACGCTATTTTCTAAGATTGAGGCGGTATTGAACAGCCGTCCCTTATGTGCCGTCACCTCTAACCCAGAAGACGCTGTAGATTACCTAAGCCCTGGACATTTCTTAGTCGGCAGACCGTTATTGCAACCTCCTGAAGCTCCCTTGGAGGACAACTTGAATTGGACCTGTCGGTGGCAACTACTCTCCCAGCTGTATCAGCGGTTCTGGAAGAGGTGGTCTACGGAGTATCTCCATACTCAACTCCAACGTCAGAAGTGGAATAAGGATCAACCAAACATTCAACCTGGCGCCATTGTCGCATTGTATGGCGCAGAAACTACCCCCCTTTCATGGCCGTTAGGACGCGTACAAGAGGTACATCCTGGAACCGATGGAGTCGTCCGTGTGGCCACAGTGAAAACCTCGACCGGTTTATATACGCGTCCGGTAAACAAGCTCGTGATTCTCCCAACCCAATTCTCAATGGAGAATTGAGTGAACTCTCATAATGTGCATAAAGAACTCTCTTTAATTTTCGTTTAATTTTTCGTTAAATTTTGTTAAAATTGGTGGGCGGTTATGTTCGAACAGTAAGTGCTCCATTCCGGCGCACGCGCGAGTGAGCGGAAGTAGTACGCTACTGAACGTAAAAGGTGCATGAGTGAACGGTTTTTCCTCTCGCGTGTTCCTCGTTGTACTTCTCAAAATCAGGCTACCAAGAACCAGGGGCCCCTGTCACCGCCAGCAGGATACTCCAGGTTAGTGGTACTTCTCAGTTATTCTCGGTCCTTCGCGCAAAGTTAAGTCACGGCACCCCGCGTGCACAAAGAGGATGCAGAACCAGGTGCTAAGAAAATCGTACTACCTTGCCACTGCCAACTCATGCTGCATGATGAAATAATCATTGGCAGAAGATTTCCATGCAAAGAAGATGAGAAGGAAATAACCATAACGCATATTTTACCGGCACCGTGGTCGACAGTAGGGGCCATGGTAATTAACGATTTTGAAAAAACAGTGCCGCTACACTTTGACTCCCTGAAAACTTGCCTCAACGAGAATTGGACACTGACAATACCACACGTAAATTTAACCTCACCGATCGAGAAATTGGCGGATGTATATAGAAGGATAAAAGTGCATCAGGAGGATCACGACTGGACGAACACCTACACAGTACATGGGGATTCTATGATGTTCATCTGGAATTGTGTAGGCTGCTGCTCCAGGAGCGCATGCGTATACAATCAAGTAGTTTTGACGCTCATGTGTATTGCCATACTTGTATTCGTAGGATACATAGGGTTTAAAATGTGTAAAAGCGAGGGACTGGAAGAAATAGGGACAACCCTAGAAAAGTTGAAAGTGTAAATGAAACCAGTGTGCCCTTGCAGACAAGAGGACGGCAAGTGAGTTTGTCAGAGGGGCGTCTAGAGTTGGGAGAAGAGGCTTTCCTAGAATTAAGTTAATGTAAGTTGGTAATGAAATGGGGATCAAAATTAAAGATCCAGTAGATGTAGATTTTAAGTTTAGATATAGGTACATTTTTATTGTAACGAATTAACACAATTTTCTTTTATATCGCATGGGGTGCCACAACAAGAGTCAAACGTCAACGTCCTGAAAACATCGAACTATCCTAGTGGTAGGCCACAGGGAGGAGTAGGATCACGCAGTCACGCTAGAATTTGGAAAAATTTGAACATCACCCCTTTCAAGGAGAGGAAGAGACAATGTACGCCGACAGCACTTTCCACAAGTATGTCAAAGGACCAACAATGACAATGGACTCGGCAGACAAGTAGAGAAATAACGTCAATGAGCCCACATGTGAGATGAGCGACCCATATTTGACAACAAACCAAGAAGAATCCGATCCTATAAGCAATTCCTTTCTTGTTGAAAAATCATTCCTTTTTTACAAGACGTAAAGATCCTTCCATATGATATCCTATGGTCGCCATTCTATCCATTGGTCCAGACTTTGAAGAAGAATCGAAGTGGGAGTGCGTAGCACGAGATTCCTGAACAGAGCTGAAAAAAGACGGAAAGAACTTGGACTGGCAGATGATCCGAACGAATCCCGACTGGTCGAAACTAGTGATAGTGGAAAGGAAGCGACGTGAGTCAGAGCGACTTGCAGAAATTAAGTGGCATCCCCACAGTGGAAAGAAGAGCGGAATTAGGGTAGAATTGTAAGATGTTAGGGTAGCCTAGTTTTAGGAAATTATTGTCGGGACGACAATCTTGAAGGGCGGGCAAATGTCACAGTTAGCAACAAGTTACGAAACCGATTTGCCCCCAAAAAGTAAGTTTGGCTGATGCTTGGGCCAGCAGAAGGAACTTGGAGAGTGGCAAATCGAGGACAGGGAGTGACAGTGAGAGTTAGAGACTGTGACAGTGTGGGTCCCTTCAAGACTGCCAATGACAACTGTAATGATTAAGTAAGTACCAACTCCATATACTTAGTTTTGTAGGTAGTAGGTAATAAATCATAGAATATGAGACAAATGTTTTTATATAACAACCCTAATGGTCACAGGACGTGACAATATAAGTTAAAATAAAAATATTTCGAATGCTGTTAGTACCAATGTAAACAACACTTATGCAAATAAACTGGCTGCACCTACGCAAATTAAAGTGATGATCAAACCAAAAGTGGCACAAAAATCATTGCAAACGCAAGAGGACTTACTGCGAAATGTTAATTTGGTGAATTCAAGAAGTGTGAAATTTGGTGGTATTATTGTAGGATACAGTGATAGTAAAAATTCAAAAAAACTTAAACAACTAACTGAGGACAAACGTTCTAGTGATTATGAAGTATTTGTACTGAGAGTTGAACATCCTAAAATTAGAGTCGTGGGCATTTCATCATGTCTCGACAAAGAGTGATTCATGAATTACCTGAAGTCACAGAACAGTGAGTTACTTTCTGAAGCAACGAAGTATCGATTATTAAACTTTTGGTCATTAAAGAAGAACAATAAAATATTTCAGGCAACTATACAGATATGGAAACATCCAAGAAAGTGATGAATGTTGGAGGATTATATCTGCAAGGAGATACTACGGTCACTCCTTGTTTTAGGTGTAACGGATTCAATCACTCCAAAGTTAAATGCCCAAGATCAATTGTCTGTCCCTGCTATAATTGTGGCATTGTAGGTGATGTAGCTCGTGATTGCATGAAACCCAGAGATGAGAAGCTGTGTTTTGGCTGCAAGGAGACAGGCCACGTGAAACGACAGTGTCCAAACGGCCCAGGAGTGCCGCGAGAGGGAGTCAAACCTAACGGCAGAGCAATTAATAGTTGAAAACTCAAGTAAGAATGAGGAAAGCAATGCTGATAGATATTGCCGGGAGGTAATTCTGAACGGTAATTTGAAAGTAATGACATTTATCGATCCAGGCAGTGCTGTGTGTACTGTAACGAAAGAGGCTGTGCGAAAATATCACATCCAATGTTTGCCATCGAGTCAGAATCTCCGAGGCTTTGGGATGCCACAAGTGATATCTAGCCAGTGGGGTGCGAGATTGACACTCAAGATAGATGAGGTTGAAAGAGAGACTGAGTTTGTTGTAGTACCAACTGCAGCTCAGTCAATGGGCTTTTTGATTAGCCGAATCTTGACAGATGCGCCAGATGTTGCTTACTTGAGTTTACTATCAGAACGTGCGAGGACTACGAACTAAAACAAAGGAAATTTACTCTACAAGTGATGTTAAATATGTCTTAGCGCTGACGGAAACATGGTTAGACTATAGTATTAAAAGCTCGGAACTTTTTTCTAGCAACGTACTTGTTTTTCGATCTGACCGTAAATTTGAGTGCTCGGGGAAATCGCGTGGTGGTGGTGCTCTGTTGGCGATTAAAAGCAATTTAAGCTGCTCTTTGGTCGATACTAAAGCAATTTCGGTAAATATGATAGATGCTGTGGCATGCAAAATTTTACTCAGTACTTGTACATTACAAATATTTTGTATCTATATTCCCCCTAAGACTCCTGTTATTGATGTAGAACTATTTTTAGATATGCTATGTGAATTTTGCTCTCAAATGGATCAAGTGTTAATTGTAGGAGACTTTAATTTTCCGGAATTTGCAAAATGTTTGAGTAAAGTAAATACTATTTACACTAATTTCATGAATTTCTTAGATTTGCGCCAGTGTAATTACATATTGAACTCGCATAAGGTAATGTTAGATCTAGTATTTACTAATGTAGGTAAGTGCGCTGTCTTCAAAGAAGATGAGCCCATTTTAAGGGAGGATAGTTATCATCCGGCTTTTGTTATAAATATAATTCTTAAGGAAGCGCTGTTCGTCAATTTTTCAAAACATTCAGGTCATAATAACTACAATTTTCGCAAAGCAAATTTTCCGGTTCTATACTCTAGCTTATTTGCTACAGATTAGTCCTTATTATTGTCACAGTCACAAAAATATGTAACCTAGTTACGATGGGATTGCCAAACACCCTGCTCGCGATATGATTCCATCGAGGCCATGGAGTGTCGACACATACCGACAGTAGGGATAGTTGCTGACACTACAAGGGCTTCGTGGGGTTGACGAGAGCGGGTGGACGGCAGTTGGGTTGTGGCAAGAGAAAGAAAAAGAACCTGTGACATGTTTCTCCCAACAAAACAGTAAGTAGTTTTATTGTATTTGAATTATTATCAATAGAAATAACGTAAACTCACGAACTGGGCTTTTTTACCCCGCTCTACCAACCCCTTAGAACACCTCAGTCGTGACATATGGTGGAGGCGCCGGGCAGTGGTGACTAAGTTCCTCAATCAGTCGTTCCTTAGTAACATTGGTCCGTGCAGCTTATCTTCCTCAAATCGGGGTAGAAAGTACAATTTGTCACTATGTGGCTGTATTGGTAAAGTCCTAGTTTTTCAATTTGCTGCCAAAAATAGAGTGCGATACTCGATTCAGCAACTTTGCTAAAAAGAACAATAATAAGTGCGGGTAATGTATTATTAGGATCGGGCCTCATAATTGAAAGTTCGCACGATTAGTGTCCCAAAAGCTCCAGCTGATACTTTGTCTTGTGCCTTCGTGTATGGGATAAGGGCAAACAGACACAGATGCACATACCTACGGAAACGAATATTAATATCTTTAATTCTTTTTTTTTTTTTTTTCCTAGGAGCCCCTACTTTATTCCTTTTAGTCGCCTTTTACGACACGCAGGTGCTACGGTTGAGGAATTCTTGTATACCCCCGTCAACAGGGTATATGTTTTTTCGAGCGTTCTTATTTTTCGTCGGATGCGCCGTTTCCCGTCCACGGATCGTTATACGGTAATATCCTCCCCACGTGTACGACTTCTTTTTTAGATCGTTTATCCAATTTTTGCACCTCATAATCAACGTCGCTTAATTTTTTTGTAATATAATATGGGGCAAACCACCGCAATAATAATTTTTCACTTTTCCCGACTTTTCGAACAGGAGTAAATATTTTAACTTTGTCTCCTACCCGAAATTCTACGTGACGATGTTTTTCGTCGTACCGCTTTTTGTCGATGTTTTGTTTTAATCGAATATTATCCACCGCCATGTTCCTAACCGCTAACGCTTTTTCCCTAATATTTATTATATCTAGATTTTCAATATTCTTTCTTAGACTAGTTTCGGACGGAAGTACTGGTTCGCGACCGTAAACTAACATGAAAGGTGATAATTTAGTCGTATCTTGACGAGAGGTGTTATATGCGAAGGTCACGTGTGGAAGAAACTCGTCCCAATCGGTTTGGTTAGTGTTTGTATACATCGCTAACATGTCGGCCAATGTCTTATTAAATCTCTCTGTCAGTCCATTACAGCTAGGGTGATATGCCGTGGTAAATTGACGATTTGTACCCATTATTCTCAACAATTCGCCTATAAGCTCTGATCGAAAATTTGTCCCGCGGTCACTCAAAATGTCTCGAGGAGCCCCGTGTCTCGTTATTATATTCTCTAGCATAAACTTTGCTACTGAGCCCGCTTTGGCGTTTGGTAAGGCTTTAGTTTCCGCCCATCGTGTCGCATAATCTGTCGCTACAATAATAACCGTTTTACCGTTTCGGCTCCTGCGAAAAGGTCCAAGAATATCCACCCCGACCTTCTCAAAAGGAGTCGCTACCGGAATCGGATGTAGTAACCCGGGTGGTTTTTGATTTTGTGCTCCCTTACGTGCCTGACAATCTGGACATCCTTTTACAAATTTTTCTATGTCCGACTGCATTCTATCCCAGTAGTAGCGGCTTTTTATTTTGTGATTCGTCTTGGCAATTCCCAAGTGCCCTGCTAACGGTTCTGAATGGTGTGCAAAAAGAATTTCGTGTACGAGATGTTTTGGGATAACTACCAGATCATCGTTGTTAATTGCGGTCGCGTTTTTTTTTATGCAGAATACCGTTCACCAGTTTAAAATTTTTTGATTTTTTTCTTAAAGAAATGGTTGATGGAGTATTCTCAGGATCTTCAAGTATTTGAATTAGATGCTTCACATCGGGATCTTTGCGTTGCTCAAGAACAAGATCTTGGTTTACCAAGAGGAAAGTAGGTATGTCAAAAAGATCTACTTCGTCTTTGGGCGCCTGAGACACCGGGTTCCGTGAGAGACAATCCGCATCGGCGTGTGCCTTACCGTTTTTATAAACTACCTCATAGTCAAATTCTTCTAATTTGATAGCCCACCGCGTTAGTCTACTCGTTGACTGGTTGGAATTTTTTAGATAGCACAGAGCGTGGTGGTCTGATTTCACAATAATGGGACGCCCGTAGACAAAATGTCGGAAGTGCGTTAAACCGTAAAGAACAGCCAGCGCTTCTAATTCCGTTATAGAGTAGTTTTTTTCCGCACTGGTAAGTGTTCTACTCGCATATGCTATTGGGTGCATTTGACCCCCGCTTTCTTGTAACAAAATTACGCCTAATCCCTCTTTTGACGCGTCCGCTCGTAATTCGCAGCCGATTTTCGGGTTAAAATGTGTTAACACCGGGGATCCGCAAAGTTCCGTTTTGAGGCTATTGAATGCCCTTTCCTGATCTGTTTCCCACTTGAATTTTGAATTATGTTTCAAAAGCTTGTGCAGAGGGCTAGCTATTTTGGAGAAATTACCTATAAATTTTCGATAATAATTTGCAAGTCCCAAAAAACTCTGAAGCTGTTTGATGGATTTCGGCTGCGGAAAATTTTTAATAGCAGCGAGTTTTTCAGGATCAGGTCGGATAACATCGCTACTAACAATGTGCCCTAAGACCTTTACTTGTGTGGATGCGAACGTGCACTTTTTTGTTTTCAGAGTAAGGTTAGCCGCTCTTAAACGCTCGAAAACTTCTCGCAATTTTTCTAAATGTTCTTCAAATGTTTTAGAATAAATTATAACGTCATCGATATATACAAGTACAGACGACCATTTTAAACCGCGGAAAACTCTATCTGTCAGGTCTTGAAACGTTGACGGTGCATTGCATAGACCGAATGGTAACTTGTTAAACTCAAAAAGACCGAAACCGGGCGTTATGAAAGCTGTGTATTCTTTTGAGTTTTCTTCAATTCCGAGTTGCCAAAATCCGCTAAAGAGATCAAGTGTACTGTAAAATTTTGAGTCACCAAAGTATGTCATGATCTCATCGATATTACTCAATGGGTAGCTTGACTTTTTCGTGATTTTATTAAGTTTTCTATAATCTACACAAAATCGCATTTTTTGATCGTCCCCTTTTTTTTTACGAGAACAATTGGTGAAGAATACGGGGATTGAGATGGTCTGATGATACCCTGCTCAAGCATTTCTTCAATTTGATCACCAATTATTTGGCGTTCCTTTGGTGAAACTTTATATGGTTTACTTTTTATAGGTGTATTTTCTGTTAACTGTATTTTATGTTCTACAACGTGTGTTGAACCTATTTCACTTAAATCGTTTGCAAAAACGTCCTTATATTCATCTATTAGGTCTCTGATTTGTTTTTCCTGATCAACGGTTATGTTGTTATCAAATTTAATTTCTTGATTCGGGGTTTTTTCCGTTGGTCGTTCGGTTTCTATTATTTGATTTATCAAAAGGAGCGGTTCATGGTACATGACATTTTCCAAATACGCCACGGTGGTGCCTTTAAACAGTTTTAACGCATTATGGTTCCGAGACTCCAACGTTCCTGTCTTGTAATCGTCTGAGATGTTAAATATAAGTCCTCGCTTAATCAAAAATTTATCGTTATTGACGGACTGCAAGCTGATATCGTCAGCAATGTTTTTGTTTACTTTCAGTTTAACTACAATTTTTGTATAAGGATCGATTTTATAATC